ATAAATACAGGAAAAATGGTTAAATTTCCTTTCATCTAAAGGGAGGTTAGATACAGGAAAAGTGGTTAAATTTCCTTTCATGGAAAAGGGGGATAAATACAGGAAAAAGGGTTAAATTTCCTTTCATGGAAAGGGGGATAAATACAGGAAAAAGGGTTAAATTTCCTTTCATGGAAAGGGGGATAAATACAGGAAAAAGGGTTAAATTTCCTTTCATGGAAAAGGGGGATAAATACAGGAAAAAGGGTTAAATTTCCTTTCATGGAAAGGGGGATAAATACTGGAAAAAGGGTTAAATTTCCTTTCATGGAAAGGGGGATAAATCCAGGAAAAGTGGTTAAATTTCCTTTCATGGAAGGGGGGGTAAATACAGGAAAAAGGGTTAAATTTCCTTTCATGGAAAGTGGGATAAATACAGGAAAAAGGGTTAAATTTCCTTTCATGGAAAGGGGGGTAAATACAGAAAAGTGGTTAAATTTCCTTTCATGGAAAGGGGGATAAATACAGGAAAAAAAGTTAAATTTCCTTTCATGGAAAGAGAGATAAATACAGAAAAGGTGGGTAAATTTCCTTTCATGGAAAGAGGGGTAAATACAGGAAAAAGAGTTAAATTTCCTTTCATGGAAAGAGGGATAAATACAGGAAAAGTGGTTAAATTTCCTTTCATGGAAAGGGGGATAAATCCAGGAAAAGTGGTTAAATTTCCTTTCATGGAAAGGGGGATAAATACAGGAAAAAGAGTTAAATTTCCTTTCATGGAAAGGGAGGTAAATACAGAAAAGTGGTTAAATTTCCTTTCATGGAAAAGGGGGATAAATACAGGAAAAAGAGTTAAATTTCCTTTCATGGGAAGGGGGATAAATACAGGAAAAAGGGGTTAAATTTCCTTTTATGGAAAGGGAGGTAAAAACAGGAAAAGTGGTTAAATTTCCTTTCATGGGAAGGGGAATAAATACAGGAAAAAGGGTTAAATTTCCTTTCATGGAAAGAGGGATAAATACAGGAAAAAGGGTTAAATTTCCTTTCATGGAAAGGGGGATAAATACAGGAAAAAGGGTTAAATTTCCTTTCATGGAAATGGGGGATAAATACAGAAAAGGTGGTTAAATTTCCTTTCATGGAAAGGGGGATAAATACAGAAAAAAGGGTTAAATTTCCTTTCATGGAAAGGGAGGTAAATACAGAAAAAGCGGTTAAAATTCCTTTCATGTAAAGGGAGGTTAGATACAGGAAAAGTGGTTAAATTTCCTTTCATGGAAAGAGGGATAAATACAGGAAAAAGAGTTAAATTTCCTTTCCTGGAAAGGGGGATGAATCCAGGATGGATGTAACCCAGGGGGGCAGTGGATCCCCATCCCTGGAGCTGTGCCCTTGGGGACGTGGCTTGTTGGTGACCTCGGCTTTGGCTCAGTGCTCCAGGAGAGCTTTTCCAACGTGAACAATTCCACGATTCCCCCTCAGGACAAGGTGCAGCTGCTCCTGTGCATCATCCCTGGTGGCAGGGACGACGTCTACGGGGCCATCAAGAAGCTTTGCTGTGTGCAGAGCCCTGTGCCCTCCCAGGTGGGCTGGCACTCCCCATCCCTGGCAATCCCTGGCTCTCTCCAGCCTCCCTTTTCCCTGAGCTTTCCCTCTCCACAGGTCATCAATGCCCAGTCCCTCATGGGCCACCCTGGCAAGATCAGGAGCGTGGTGCAGAAAGTTCTGCTGCAGATCAACTGCAAGCTGGGCGGGCAGCTCTGGGGGGTTGATATCCCACTGGTAAGGCAGGAACACCCTGGCAGGAGGCCTGGAAGCTCTGGAGGGGTTGGGTTGGGTTGTTTGGATTGTTGTTGGCATGGGCTGGATGAATCAGGGTTGGCTTCTCTTGGGTGCTCATGAGTCCCTTGGAGCTGGAGGGGTCCAAGTTTGGAGGTGCCTGATTTATCCCTAAATGCCACCTGGCTGATTTTCCCCCTTCCAGAAGCAGCTGAGGGTTGTGGGCATGGGCATTGTCCCTAAATCCCAGCTGCCTTTCCCTGCTCCATTATCCCTAAATCCCATCTCTGTTCCCCTTTCCATAACCAGTTGATTGTCATGGGCATGGGCATTGTCCCTAAATCCCAGCTGCCTTTCCCTGTTCCATTATCCCTAAATCCCACCTCTTTTCCCCCATCCAGAAGGATTTCACAGTGGTGGCCATGGCCATTGTCCCTAAATCCCACCTATCCTCCCCTTCCCAGAAGCAGCTGATGGGCATGGGCATTATCTGTAAATCCCAGCTGCCTTTCCCTGCTCCATTATCCCTAAATCCTATCTTTGTTCCCCTCTCCAGAACCTCTCCCCTCTCCAGATTGTTGTGGCCATGGCCATTGTCCCTAAATCCCACCTCTGTTCCCCCCTCCAGAAGCAGCTGATGGTGGTGGGCATGGACATTGTCCCTAAATCCCATCTTCTTCCTTTTGGCCATTATCCCTAAATCGCACCTGCCTTTCCCTGTTACATTATCCCTAAATCCCACCTATCCTCCCCTTTCCAGAAGCAGCTGATGGTTGTGGACATGATCCCTAAATCCCACCTCCCTTTCCCCGCTCCATTGTCCCTAAATCTCACTTCTGTTCCCCTCTCCAGAACCAGCTGGTGGTTGTGGGCATGGCCATTATCCCTAAATCCCACCTATCCTCCCCTTTCCAGAACCAGCTGATGGTCATGGGCATGGCCATTATCCCTAAATCCCATCTTCTTCCCCTCTCCAGAAGCAGCTGATGGTGGTGGCCATGGTTATTATCCCTAAGTCCCATCTTCTTCCCCTTTCCAGAAGCAGTTCGCAGTTGTGGGCATGGCCATTATCCCTAAATCCCACCTCCTTTTCTCCACTCCATTATCCCTAAATCCCACCTGCCTTTCCCTGTTCCATTATCCCTAAATCCCATCTCTGTTCCCCCATCCAGAAGGATTTCACAGTGGTGGCCATGGCCATTATCCCTAAATCCCATCTCTGTTCCCCTCTCCAGAAGGATTTCACAGTGGTGGCCATGGCC